GATCCTGAACCTAAAAGACCATCCCAATTATTTAGAGAAAATTTATTAGAACAAAGTGTCGCCATGTCACTTGATGAAGCAATAATGGGAAAAAACGTTTTTTCTACACGTAGACCATCTCTTAATACTAAAATACCACGACGTAGGTTTTCAAGGAGGGGGAGTAATGCTAAATTTAGAAAAGAAAAAGCCGAGAAAAATATAAAAGAGAAAAATAAAAAAGGCAAGGACAATAATCAAGGAGAACAACAGATAAAACAAGAAACAGTAAACCCGATGGTTATTTCAAAAATATTGGATGCTGATGAGCTGAAAGTAAAAGTTGAAGAGCAACTTCGTAGAAGAGCAGTTCTACAATCTCCTCAGCCACCTCCAAGACGTTTTACACCACCAACGACTGAATCACGAAGAGAAGTAATTGTACGGAGACGATCAAAAAATACAAGACCTGAAAAACGTTTAGTTAAACCTGAACCATCTAGGGAAAGCCTTCAACCATTCCCAAACCATTTAGCTAGACGTAATAAATCTCTGCGATGGCATTAACAACAAATAATTCATTAATTATTAAAAAAAAGGACAATTGAACAATTAATATTGTAAATCTTGTTTATATTATTTAATTAATATATTTTGTAGTAGTTTTTATTATTCAATTATATTTTATTTTATTTCATATTTATCTAATATTGAACATTTTTTTTTTTTATAAATACTTCTTCATATTATTTCTTTTTTCTTTTTAGTTAATATTTTTTGGGTATTATTCATTTCATCTTTCTGGGTGTATATTTTCACGTTCTATTTTTTTGGCCGAATTTCTGTAGCATGACCTGACGCAAAAACTGAACAATAATGGCTAATAATTAGCCATTAAAAAAAAAAAAAAACAAAATTAAAAAAAAAATAATTTTTATATATAAAGTAATTGTTAAAATGCTTTTATTTCTATCTCATCATCATTAGAAATTCGCATTTTTTTTTTCCTTTTAAAAAAAAAAAAATCTCCTCAGTACAGTCGCTTTAGCCCAATATTATAAATTAGTTACTAAATTACAGTAAACCAACAGACCGAAGTCACGAATTAAAATATGTGCAGAATGCGCGACCTTAGATTCTCCCGGCTTTTTAATAGTAGGCAGCTACTGTGACAGCTTATTCAAGAATTATTATAAACCAATATAAGTTAGAAACTTTAAAGCTTTGGTTTAGAAATCTTCGCATGTTAGAATTCATTATTTAATTTATTCGGTTTGAGACAGACTAACGAAATATTACGTATGTATTAGTACGATGATACCATCTAACATAATTTTAACATAATAAGATCGGTTAACAACAAAATTTTAAATAAATAATAAATAATATAGATGAAAAAATGTTGTATCGTTGACTTTGGTTGTATATAAACCAATCAAACAATTCTGCATCTTTCTTTAATAGGTGCAAAAAAATATAAATCTTGTGAGAAAATTCGCTATTAAATTATCTCTTTTTCTTTAAAAAAATGTGATCTCTCTTTTAAAAATGTGAGATCATGTTATTTATTATATAGATTTACAATAATATAAATATTATGGTATTATTATATTAGATATGTTCATCATACTTTTTTTGTCTCATTTTCTCTTGTCGGGAGTTGGTTTTTTTTTTGCGAACCGATTGTTCAATGAAAATAATAATAACTTTAAATGTCAATAAAATGAAAGTATACATAGATAAGTCTGTTTTGTTAGATTTTTGGTTATCCGAAGAATCAGGAATTTTTTTTCAATGATATTCTGGTAATGATTTTCAAAAGGGGAAAAGTAAAAATTTGATAAATTCAAAAAGGAGAAAGATAAACAAAAAAAAAAAAAAAAAAATACAAACTGACTTACCAATTATAATGTTTTGCCTTTCATGATAGGTGTTTGTTTGTTAAATATTGTATGAATGAAAGCACCTAAAATTTTTATTTTAATTTTGAATTAATAAAAATATTTCTTTGCATCTTATTTAAACCAATTTTAAAACATACCTATATGATAAATTCCTGTACACAAAGCGAAACAAGTGAAGTAAAAACCAATACGTTGTTGAGTTTCCAATTTAGATAAAATTGGATAAGGCCAAGTACCATATTTAGCAAAATAAAATTGTATCCAAACAGCATAACAAAAAGCAAACGTAAGTAAATAAAATATATGCGAATGAGATTTTCTAAATTCCTTTGCAAAAAATAAGAAATCTGTCCACAAACAGACTGCCGGAATTAAATGAAATCCAAAATCAATTAATATGGGCAATCTAGTACATCACCAAGAAAAGGAAGAAAAATGGATCAGAAGAAGAAAAGGAATCGTTTACAGAGGATATAATTATGATAATACCTTGGCTTATCCAATAATAGTGTTTCATCGTAGATTACCATACTCCAATATAAAATAGAAATTAGTCCTTCCAATGGTACAGAAACAACCATAAACCAATTCTTCAAGAAAGATATAACTAAATAAATAAGTAATATATGTATGTATTATTTTATTATGTATGTGTTCTAAAGAAGTTTTAATATGTATTTACTTTTAACCGAAGAGAATAAATCATACAATAGCGCAAAAACAAAAGCGATCAAGGAAAAGAGTAATCCAACTATCGTCAGGTGCTAAAAAAGAATATTATTAATTTGGGAATAATTTAAGATTTTATAAATACATACTGTGAATTGAAAAATTATATTCTCATATCTGTTTAGGGTGGGTAATATAGCAAAAGAATAGCTGAAAGAAGCAATTCCAAGTGCATGAAGGATTAATCGGTAATTAAGTTGGTAAGTTTTACCCATTTTTCTTTTTTTCTTTTTTTTTTTTTAAAAAAAAAAAAAGATAAATGAATGAGTAGAAAAGTTTCAAAAGAAGGAATAAAGGAAAAAAACAAGACAGAGACAGGGATAACAATCAAAATGAATAAGATATATATATAAGGCTTGGTAATTGGATTAATCCGTGAGTAAGTACCAAATATAGATAATATAAGCTTATCTGATAGATCACGAGTTATGTAAATAGATCATGAGTTTGTGACAAATTCTATCGATTTTAAATTTTCTAAAAACAGAGGTTGGAGAAGTTGTTGTATAGGGGAATATAGAATTTAATGAAAAGAGGGATGGGAAAATGTCAATATTTGCTTTTTTGGTACCTTATGTAAAGTTTGAAGGGGGAGATTCAGATTGTTTGTAATAAGAATTTTTATTTTTGTTCATATTACAGAATCATACAATCGGAAATTGAATCATGACTATATTTTTCCGGACCATATAATTTATCCCTTCAAACATGTGAGCTATCACGTGCAATATTACTAATAGTAAGTCATTTATCAAATGGTTTATTTTAATTGCCAGAATGAAATATCCTAATATTTTCTGTGCACCAATATTATTTCAGGACGTATTGTATCATCGTAATGACATTATTTTAGCCATTTCGAGAGAGAAAAGTGTACAAACTAATTGATCATATTAGAATAGATAATAATAATATTTAATAATATTAATACAGTAATTACAATCTTCTACCGCACGGAATAAGAGTGATTTAATTATTAATCCAACATAAACAAAATCAAAAGCGTCATATTTAAGGGCTAATATGTGGTCCAATGAAATTGACATGTGATCTAAAGCCATTTCGAGCAAAAATGCTTACCGGTCCACATCTTATGTTAAGAATCGTAATATTATAACGGGTACATATCTACATTAATAAATCATTTTATTTATACGATAAGTTATTACTAACGTTATCATTATTGCGATAATCATGATGATTCCCAATACAACTTCCCCCAAAAGCCAAAAGATAATTCCTACAATATATAATTATGTACCTAAAGTATTCCGGTACCAAATGGTGAATTTTGTTACACAATGTATATAGTACTACTATACTATTATATTACGATTTTTACCGAAATTACTTCCCTGATAGCCGGGAACTATACAGAAAGTTTTGCAGTAGTAAAATTATATTTTTTTTAAAAAAAATGTTTGACAAAAATAAAAGATTTATTTCATATTATATAAATGAATATGCATCTTGATTCATAGTAATAAACTTTTAATTCGCTATATATTTGCAATTGCGGTTACATTTTTCCTATTTAGTTTAGATCAAAAACTGTGTTTATTTAAAGAGTTGTACCAAGTCTCGGCAGAACTGATCCGATCTTAAAAAAAGACTAACTCCATAAACTTTACTACAAGGTATTAATTAAAAAAAAAAAAAACACTCCTCTCCTTATAATAATTTCAAATATTATCTATCTTTTATATTCATTCCTTCGTATAACCCAACTCTTTTAAAAATCCATCAACTTTTTCAGCAGGACGAGCAATGATGGCTCTACCTTTGTCCCAATCAACTAAAATAGGCCTTTGCAACCTAATAGGTTGTTCTTTAACGATATTTGCCAATTCTTGAATAGATTTAGGTTGTTCCACCTTACTTGCTGTATCACCTTCTTTTGTTGTTCCATCTTCATTTCGTAGAATTTTACTTAAATCATTTTCAATGTTAAGGTATTGAACGATATTCCGTAATTGGTCTTGAGTAAGTGGAGTTTTTTGGTAATCCAATACGTCCAAACTAAATATACCTGGTTGTTGTTCTAATGCTTTATGGAGAATTGATAATGTTTTATTACATTTATTACATGCTGAATTAAAGACCAAAGTTAAAATTGGTTGCGCAACATTCATTCGAAATGACATTTTCGATTAAAAAAAAAAAAAATTTTTTTAAGTAAAAAAGTTATAAAGGTATAAAGGTAAAACGAAAAAAATCCGTGAAAAAACACATTATATACCATTTAATATTACACAAGATATAGTGCCAAACATTACAACGAATGAGAGTCATCATCAACTGCGCTAACCAAATTTTTAAAAGCTAGTTCACGTGATTAATTATTGATTATTTAAATTAAATAAAATTCTATGGCAACAACAAATCCCGCTCCCGTAGCAAAGTGGCAATGCGTCGTGCTTATAGGGTAGTAACCTATACTTGAGCAACGCGAAGGTCGCGAGTTCGATCCTCGCCGGGAGCACTTTGATTTTTTCGTTTTTTTAAATATGGTAAGGATCCACTTTATTTGCAGATCCGTGACGGTTAAGTGTTAACACGCCACATTTTTTTTATTTTCTTTGATGAAATATAATACAATTATATGTATGTATGTAAATTTATTTTTACGCGACCTAAAGATTAGTCTAATATAGTTTGATAGCTCTTACTACCATTCCATAAAAAATATAACTTTAAAGGATTTGTATTCGTAAGATTCGTATTCGTAATAAAAAGAACGATATTTGCTACAATTTTCTAAATAGTAAATTCCGAGCCAAAGGTCCAGAGAAACTTCTGGAGTCTGGACATCCCAATGCCTAAAAAGTTAAAATGAGATCCAACTTGGCTTTTAATTATAAATATTTTATATCATATTTATTTGTGTTCTTCATTACTACCGTATTCTGATTGATGTTCTGATTGATCTATTCTTCTTGGCTAATGTATTACTGTATACTTCTTGACTGATCTATTCTGGTATTCTTGATCAATCAGTGTGTTCTATCATATTAAAAATTTTTGATTAGTATGATCATGTGATCAATGCACAATTCAATAAATTTTATAATTATTATTATTAATTATTAAGTAGTTTATTGTATTTTAGATTAATAAATTACAGAAAAAAATTTAAGAATCTTTTAATCTAGATAATATATATACGTATATAAAATAAATAATAAGTAGTTCTATAAAAGATTCTATTTGATTTTATATTAACTTCATTTAAACTAATACTTGTTAAATAGATTATCCTAATGACCATTCATTAGATAATTTACTAAATGTAACAAATGCATCCTAAAATAAAAATAAAATAATAAATTATAAATTTATCTAATATACAAACATTACACTTCATCTTGTTAAAATATCAATTACCTCTTTTGTACAATCCGGAATTTGATTATCAAAAACAGGATAATCCATTGAAACTGTAGTGTGCAATTGTTTAGAGTGGAAAGCCGACAATTTCCCATAACCTCCAGGAGAAATTATCTAAAAATTAAAAATTTAAAAATTAAATATAATTAAAGAAGTTTTCATAATAAGTTAATGGAATAAATGCAATAATAATTATATACCCGATAATCTGTTTTACTTAAAATCCAATTTTCTATTATAGCATTATTTACGTCATCAGCGTGATCGTGATGACCATGATTCGATTGAATCGGTAAACCAGAGATAATAACATGTTCCAATTTCTGCACAGCTTCATTTCTTAAAGCTACTGAATCAGTAATAAGGAAATAAATGACTTTGTGATCCGGTACAGCATAAGTTTGTGTAAGTTGGTCGGCACAATGGAAAAAATGTTTATAATCTTGCAATGCAGTCGTATCTCCTCTTGTTCTAATTTGAATTCCCACCGAAAATATATTATTAAGTAAAAACAATGATGTGTACTTTGTTATGAATGACATTGCTGCTGTACTTGGACGAAATAGATAATCAAAAATACATCCAAATGCTGTGTGCGGTCTTAATCCAATTTCTTTTAAAGGTTGCGCGTAATATTTTGAATCAAAACTCCTAATAATCATCCCTCGATTTGTATAAAATTTAATAAAAGGATCTGGATATTTTGTTGACCAATTTGAAAGTAAAAATTGATTGTCTATTTGTTGAGCATCAAAATCAATCACATTAATTTCACTACTTTGCAAGTCTTTGATGGTCATTTCTGGATCTAAAGAATCATAACTCCAATCAATATTAGGAGAATCAAAAATTGTATCAAGAGGAAGAGGAGCTTGCCAATCTGCAAGATAAGCTCGATTTGTAAGCAAAGCAAATAAAAATGTCGAGGTCATGCCAAGTATCCTTTCAATTAAAAATTGCGTCAGTATTTTAAATTGATAAAATAAAAACGATTTTTTCAACAACGAATATTTCTTATAACGTACCGGTCACCTAAGTTACCACAATTTGAATTTGTTTCACAAACATAAGCAACATATCTTTGTTCCGCTCTTCCAGTCAAAATATCTTGGTGTAAATTAGCATAATTTTTTTGCCATGTTCCACATGAAGAATCAAGACTTTCATCCGTATTCATTTCGATTAATTGTATTATAGCAGTTTCATTTCGTTCTTCTTCAGTAAGTGATCCAATAACATCTTCATATGTAAAATGTGGTTTTGGAGCTTGATAAGTGTACTTTGCATAATTAATTATATCATCACTTTTATCATTTAATCCCGATGCATCTAACTTGTAATGTCTAAGTTTTTTTTTGTTGAGTTTATTAGGTAAGCCTTTTAAATCTGATTCATCTTCAGTTTCATTACTTTCTAAAATATTTTTATTATTTGTTTCTTCCAACTGATCTTTTATTTCACCGTTATTAAGAAGAATTTCATCAGAATGTCCAAAATTTGGATTTTTGATCTCATTTTCATCCACATTATTAGTTAAATTAGGTTCAATTTTTATGTCTTCAAGAATACTTTCTTCCTGTTTTTGTTGTTGATTTGTTTCATCGGGTAATTCTGGTATAACATCATTTATGGTACTTTCGGGTGGATTCTGTTCCGTAATAATTTCTTTCTGTTTAAGTTCATCATCATCATCATTAATTTCTCCATCTTCAAATATTGTATCATTATAAATAGCATTAAGATTCTCATCATCAATTTTAGGAGTATCTACAAAAGGGTTAAGAACTTCTTCATTATCATTATCAGAAATATTATTAGAATCCTGTGCAAAATTAATTGGCTCTTCCATGCTAATTGGTTCTTTCTTAATTGCATAATCTAAATCATCAAATGGAGGTCCTATTCCACTTAAACTTCCAATAAAGAATACAAGAGCACAAAAAAATATTAACGTTGATATTATATTTTTTAAATCAAATTTTGAAGAAGAATCAGCTTGTTGTCTTTCAAAAAATTTATGTTTTGATGGAGTATGAGGTGGATTTGGTAATGAACTTTTATTACTACTCTCGCTTATAGAAGAAAGAATTGACTTTCCTGATTTTTGTGAGTCAAGGTAATTATTTTGATTAGAATTATAAGTATTACTGAAACTACTAGTACTATTAACTATACGTTGATTCGGTATCGAAAGAAGGTTTTCCGAAGAATCATTACTTCCTGCACTTATGCTCATAGTACGACGATGTGGTCTTGAGGAAGACATGATTTTTTTTTCCTTTAAAATATTTTATGAAGAAATTTCAATATAATTAATAATTAAATTAAAATAAAAATGTTATATAATTTTTTTTTTTTTTTTTTTTAAAAAAAAAAAATAAAATTTAATCAATTTTAAAATTTTTAAATAGATAAATAGATTAATCACAAAAAAAAAAATCGTTATTTATTTCAAAGGAGAGAGAAATTTATATTAAACAAGAAAAAATTTTGAAAAAAAAAAATCATGGTTAATTTACATTAATGTACTTAATTGGAAATGATCGGTTACTAAATAAGATTTGTCCTGCGTATCATACGTATCATACATGCTTTGTGTTTCATAAATTGAACAAAATCATATTCCCTAAAATGTATTCGCCAAAATTATTCTTATTGAATGAATACGATTTCAGTACAAAACTACATGTAACTATATAACTATAATTACTATAAGCGAGGCCATCCGTCTTCCGGTGGAAAAAGAAGTATAAAATGACGATCCACAAAATAGTAAATTTAATTGAACTAATGAAATACAATTGTGAAATAGTAATGTACTGCTAAATTTGAATCGCGCAGTTTATCGCAGCTTATCACGTGATAATATTATCACGTGATATTAAACTATCACGTGCCTTCGCAAGCTGATTTTGATCAAATCGTCTTTAAACGTGTTTTCTTAATGTAACGTCCGATCGAGGAACGTTTATCAAAAATAGATATATATATTGGAATTGCTGATAGGTTCCAACTTCCAAAACACGTTGGTCTTTATGAGTGATTCAAAGAAATAGTGAGCTTGAAACCCGAAGATGAACAAGATTTACAAATCAAACAAATTCGTTCTCAAATTCTATTAGTTTTCACCTACAAATTTAAAATATTGAAAATCTTTATCCTTGATTGTAGTCAATTCAATTTCTATATTAAAATCGTGAAGTTTCGGATGAGGAAAGAATCAAAAAAAGGAGTAAGAGTTACCAACCAGTATTGAAAGTAGGAAATAATTATGTTGCCGCTTAAATGTATAGGAATAATGCATGTAAGAATTTGTCATTACAAAACATTAATGGGAAAAATAACGCGACTTTGTTGAAAATTGCAGATACTTTTGCGTAAAGGCAGATGATTCAACAACCTTTGGATCGTATTAGACACGAATATTTCAAAGTATAAGAATACATGGAAACATTCCAGAAAGGAAAAAATGGTTAGTGGTCATGATAATAATGAGATTTTTTGTAATTATAGTCCTGTTTAATAAAAATTTGAATGTCACTGATGACTATTTAGATTTAAGCAAGTAGTAAAGCTACCATAAGCAATTATATCAAACATTATATATCATTTCTTTGACGAATTTCATGAGGTATTTGAAGATAAAACGTCATTTTGCACTTGAAAGGAAACTTATTTATTCTAGCATCTGTCACAGATCGCTTTAAAAAACGAACACAGTCCAAATTGGAAATCATAAGCTGTTCCAGAAGAGATTGATGGTATTATGTCGAATGGCACACTATTTTTGTCCTAAAGTGTGCTATTATGGTATAGTGAGTCGATATACACGTGAAAAGGTTTCCTGACTAAAGGAAGTGAAATTTAACATGTAAGTTGGGTTATTAAATATACACTTGTATAGATGTATTCTTATACTTCTTTCCCATAACCTCAATTTTACCTTTCGTTTGACGCCAGATCGTTCAATGGCTAGAGCTTGTCAAAGATATGAATTTTCAAACAAAATGTTGATAATTTCAAGGCCATATTGGTCTTAGAAGTGGTAGACTTTTAAATACTCGTTGGCAAAGGATTTTCTTTCTTTTCTTTTTG